TGTTAAAACAATAATGAATCAAAATTTTATCAAAATAATGTGTTCCGAAACACATATAGACAAGCAGACACGCCCGAGTTACATTTTAGAGGAGTACGGAAAGCATTCTACTATGTTTTATTGATGACATATTTTCGCCCACTGTATTGACAGCTACTTCGTTCTACTCCAAAACGACCGAAGAAATACCACTAGAATGTTCTATCTCACTTAAATATCAACTGTTTTTCATACGGTTTTATAACACAATATAGATCGAAACGTGTTGTCTATATTATTTTGGCCAATAAAATGAATTATATTCCTGTGAAGATGATAACATACAGAAAAAAATTAAGTCTTATCTTATCCTTGAATATCAAATTGACTCAATCACTAGGTCATGGAACGTAAAGAATAATGGCCTCTATACATAGGATATACAATAATGCATATATGACGTCATTACTATTAAATAAGATATCAAATCACGTCGAACATTTCCGGAATTCAGTAGGAAATATTTGAAATATTTTTTTCAAATTGCGTGCTTTTTTGAGAAACATCAAAACTGCTAGATCTGTGTTGCTTGTGTTGATTCCCCAACCTATGGTGTTAAAATGTTAAATGTTAAAATTCCATATTCAAGAGCTTGTTCTTAAATTCATGAAGATATAGGTATCTGATAGCCAAACTTAGGGCTTCGAGAAATGTAGGTTTATGAAAATGATGGGGAAGTTTTACGGTCGTCATAGTGATCTAATTCTTTATCCGATTTGAAAACAACAAGAAATCGGCGACATGTGAACGTAATCAGAATCCATACTCGAACTCAATAAAACTAGGTCAAAGTATGAACAAAAAATTCTTTTACGCAAAAACTCCTTAAAGATTACATGGAGGATAAGACGTGGTGTTCCGGAAGTGTAAGCGTCTTCTGCTTCATTAACGAGACAAGCCATGTAAATCATTGTCAATACAAATAAGTCACGTTCTTAAATGAGAACTTGGTAAGCAAAAACGGAACCAACATCAAACTGATAATAATGTCTGCGTATTATTTCATATTTTTTTTTATCATACCCTACTTCTATTAAATCTTAGTTTGTTTTATGGTTCTGAGGGCAGGGTTCTGGTTTTCTTTATAGCTTAGAATGTCTCTACCAGTTTATATCCGACATACAGTAAATTTGATGCGCCCTAAAACGTACAACTTGATTGCTCTCCACTCCTACGTAACATATATATCCCATAATGAAACGGAAAGGTAATACCTTGTAGAATTGATTGTGTTATTGTTTCAATTCTCTTTCAGGATAAAGTTTATGATATGTTCATACGTCAAATAATTTTAACACAGGTTAACTGCATCATTTTGGAGAATATCTTGTGAGAAATGAGAAAACAGCCTGAAGATTTACAAGACGTTATTTGATTGATTGCAATGTTTGTTGTGTTTCAAAGCAAAGCATCCGCATCGCATGCCTGTGCTTACGATATGACATTAGCTGTGTTTGAAACTCCTTACCTTGCCTGATTAATTCAGTTTGTATTTTGAGAATATGAGTTATCGTATAGACCTTTGTTGATCTAGAGAATGATAAATCCGTTTACACTTCAAGAACATCGGATCTTCTCTTTGTCCTTTTTTTTTTTAAATCCGACATGTAGATATTTCTTTTGTTCGAGTTTCTTTTGTCGATTATTTTGGGTTGGATTACGACCTCGAGAACATTACAAATGTTTCCATGTCAACCGGATACATCTGGTTATTCTCAAACCACAACAAATTCTCATGTTTGACAAACACCGAAACCTTGTTTTGACAACAAGAAGAACACATGTGGATTGTCAAAGAGATGCTTCAATTACACGTGGGTGGTAGGATGACGGAGATAATAGGTGTATTCTCATTCTGATAAAGACGTGTAATTGAAGCTATCGATATTTAGTAGGTCAGTGAACAGATGTAAATGATCACAATACGGGATTAATTAAATATTGATTATCATCTTTCATCAACTCATCGAGATTCGTTATTGTATGAACATTAATCTGTACCATGACAGTTTTGATATTTTTTCGGATATTACCTGGTGTGATGTTGCATTCACGCGAACACGAGATGAAAATATACACTGATTGAGTTTTTGTCAATGAATCAATAGGTATAGTAAAAGATGGAAAGGGAGGGAAATAGGAGTGGACAAAATACTGTAATTTCATTTTTTTATTATCAGCTTTTTGTCTGATCCAGTTATTCTCTCTCTCTCTCTCTCTCTCTCTCTCTCTCTCTCTCTCTCTCTCTCTCTCTCTCTCTCTCTCTCTCTCTCTCTCTCTCTCTCTCTCTCTCTCTCTCTTAATTCCGAGATTTTAAAGTTCTGATGTATATATATTACCTTGATGATATCAAGCCATCGCATTTACCTATTCTAAGGTGACTAACCATGACATTTGTATATTAGTATTCTTTTTTTTAATTTTCAAGCTAACCATACACTTTATTCACATTCATGAGGGTACACAAAACCTCCATCTCTTATTATCAAAAACAGCTAATTGACAAAATATCATTAAGTGAAAATGATATAGTAGGCAAAGCTTAATCTCCGTCTCTAAATAGTTTAAAAGTTGTATTGAAAAGTGTAAAATCCTTGTCGATGTAATCCCGTCCATCTATTCTCCCCTAATTTGGATGCAAGTAAAGTAGCAGCAGCTGTTTCTGGAATTTTCTTATAAACCAAATTACAAGAACGTCATTACTAACAAAACCAATAAGACTAAAGAGTTTAGAATTTGTCTTTCAGCGTGCGTGTTTCCCATGCTAATATCGAAAGGTCGCTAAGAACAGTATTAGATATGTTTGTACTATAGAAAGAGGAATGGAAAGTTTACTCGGTTGATATTTCAAAATACCTTCTGACAAGGGGCCGCGGTCACCGTCTCTATCACCAGCCCTCCACCTCCGGGTCGCGGGTTCGAGACCTACGTGGGGTCAGGTACTGAACACAATTTACTGGGGGTTTTTTCCGGAAACTTAGGCTTTCCTCCATTACGTAAACTTGATACATACTTAAATGACCCTGGCTGTTAATAGGACGTAAAGCAAAATTAAACTAAACAGATCTTCCAACAAAAGTCAACCACTTTATGACATCTGAGATTTATTGACCATGATGAAAATATCATTCAACAGATATTTATCTCAATCTTTCAGATTTTTACAACAAAATGACATCACTCAAACGTATGAGATAGTAGTTTATTTTTGGCATCATTTATCAGCTTTTGTTAATGCTGACAGACTAGATTAATTTTTCAAGAATAAATGAAATCATCTGATATAATGAGTACGTCTGATCTAATCGTATGTGGCATAAAGTGATAAACTAACGCATCTTGTACACGTGATAGATAAACTAACTCATCTTGTACACGAAATAGACAAAGTGATAAACATACTCATCTTGTACACGTAATAGATAAACTAACTCATCTTGTACACGTAATAGATAAACTAACTCATCTTGTACACGTAATAGATAAACTAACTCATCTTGTACACGTAATAGACAAAATGATAAACATACTCATCTTGTACACGTAATAGATAAACTAACTCATCTTGTACACGTAATAGATAAACTAACTCATCTTGTACACGTAATAGACAAAATGATAAACATACTCATCTTGTACACGTAATAAATTAACTCATCTTGTACACGTAATAGATAAACTAACTCATCTTGTACACGTAATAGATAAACTAACTCATCTTGTACACGTAATAGATAAACTAACTCATCTTGTACACGTAATAGACAAAATGATAAACATACTCATCTTGTACACGTAATAGATAAATTAACTCATCTTGTACACGTAATAGATAAACTAACGCATCTTGTACACGTGATAGATAAACTAACTCATCTTGTACACGAAATAGACAAAATGATAAACATACTCATCTTGTACACGTAATAGATAAATCAATTCATCTTGTACACGTAATAGATAAACTAACTCATCTTGTACACGTAATAGACAAAATGATAAACATACTCATCTTGTACACGTAATAGATAAATTAACTCATCTTGTACACGTAATAGATAAACTAACTCATCTTGTACACGAAATAGACAAAATGATAAACATACCCATCTTGTACACGTAATAGATAAATCAATTCATCTTGTACACGTAATAGATAAACTAACTCATCTTGTACACGTAATAGATAAACTAACTCATCTTGTACACGTAATAGACAAAATGACAAACATACTCATCTTGTACACGTAATAGATAAACTAGCTCATCTTGTACATGTAATAGATAACTAGCTCATCTTGTACACGTAATAGATAAATTAACGCATCTTGTACACGTGTTAGATAATTTATAACAAATGATTAGTTATCACAAGTATCATGTAAACCGCCCGAGTATACAAATCTCATTGTGATCGCTGTGACCAAGGATGTATGAAAATATAACCATACGTCTCTTTCAACTGATTGATTCAAGAATTGATCAAAAGTTCATTAATGTACGATCAAATACAAAAATAGAGAATTAACACTGTCTATAAAAATCATTAATACAGAATGTTCAGTCAGATGTTCCGTCTAATACATGATCGTCCATTACTGACATCGTTCTGAATCCTAGTTTAATTCTGATACATTCAGGTCAGACATGCACAATGCCTTCAGGTATCCACATCCAAACTATCATAAACAAGTTAACATTTTAATATCTAAAATAATGCATCGTAATGATCGTAATGGGTACTAGATATCCATTCCGGAGTACTAGATGTTCCATTCGGAGTACTAGATATCCAATCCGGAGTACCAGATATCAAATCCGGAGTACTAGATATCCAATCCGGAGTACCAGATATCAAATCTGGAGTACTCTAGATGTCTCATCTGGTGTACTATAGATGTCTCATCCGGAGTACTATAGATGTCTCATCCGGAGTACTATAGATGTCTCATCCGGAGTACTATAGATGACTCATCCGGAATACTAGATGACGCATCCTGAGTAATAGATGTCTCATCCGGAGTACTAGATGTCCAATCCGGAGTACTAGATGACCCATCCGGAATACTAGATGACTCATCCGGAGCAATAAATGTCTCATCCGGAATACTAGTTGACGCATCCGGACTCATTCGGAATACTAGATGACTCATCCGGAGTAATAGATGTCTCATCCGGAGTACTATCGTTAAGCTTCTGACATTATCCGTCTATATCGGTTGTTTTGTTGAGGTGTAAGTTTCTGATATTTTCCGTCTTTATCGGTTGTTTTGTTGAGGTGTAAGTTTCTGATTCCGTCTTTATCGGTTGTTTTGTTGAGGTGTAAGTTTCTGATTCCGTCTTTATCTATTGTTTTGTTGAGGTGTAAGTTTCTGATATTTTCCGTCTTTATCGGTTGTTTTGTTGGAGGTGTAAGTTTCTGATATTTTCCGTCTTTATCGGTTGTTTTGTTGAGGTGTAAGTTTCTGATTCCGTCTATATCGGTTGTTTTGTTGAGGTGTAAGTTTCTGATTCCGTCTTTATCGGTTGTTTTGTTGAGGTGTAAGTTTCTGATATTTTCCGTCTTTATCGGTTGTTTTGTTGAGGTGTAAGTTTCTGATTCCGTCTGTATCGGTTTTTTTTGTTGAGGTGTAAGTTTCTGATATTTTCCGTCTTTATCGGTTGTTTTGTTGAGGTGTAAGTTTCTGATTCCGTCTTTATCTGTTGTTTTGTTGAGATGTAAGTTTCTGATATTTTCCGTCTTTATCGGTTGTTTTGTTGAGGTGTAAGTTTCTGATTCCGTCTGTATCGGTTGTTTTGTTGAGGTGTAAGTTTATGATATTTTCCGTCTGTATCGGTTGTTTTGTTGAGGTGTAAGTTTCTGATATTTTCCGTCTGTATCGGTTGTTTTGTTGAGGTGTAAGTTTATGATATTTTCCGTCTGTATCGGTTGTTTTGTTGAGGTGTAAGTTTATGATATTTTCCGTCTGTATCGGTTGTTTTGTTGAGGTGTAAGTTTCTGACTCCGTCTATATCGGTTGTTTTGTTGAGGTGTAAGTTTATGATATTTTCCGTCTTTATCGGTTGTTTTGTTGAGGTGTAAGTTTCTGATATTTTCCGTCTATATCGGTTGTTTTGTTGAGGTGTAAGTTTCTGATATTTTCCGTCTGTATCGGTTGTTTTGTTGAGGTGTAAGTTTCTGATATTTTCCGTCTATATCGGTTGTTTTGTTGAGGTGTAAGTTTCTGATATTTTCCGTCTGTATTTGTTTTGTTGAGGTGTAAGTTTCTGATATTCTTCCGGTTGTTGTTTTTTTCCGTTGAGGTGTAAGTTTCTGATATTTTCCGTCTGTATCGGTTGTTTTGTTGAGGTGTAAGTTTATGATATTTTCCGTCTGTATCGGTTGTTTTGTTGAGGTGTAAGTTTCTGATTCCGTCTTTATCTGTTGTTTTGTTGAGATGTAAGTTTATGATATTTTCCGTCTGTATCGGTTGTTTTGTTGAGGTGTAAGTTTCTGATATTTTCCGTCTGTATCGGTTGTTTTGTTGAGGTGTAAGTTTCTGATATTTTCCGTCTGTATCGGTTGTTTTGTTGAGGTGTAAGTTTCTGATATTTTCCGTCTTTATCGGTTGTTTTGTTGAGGTGTAAGTTTATGATATTTTCCGTCTGTATCGGTTGTTTTGTTGAGGTGTAAGTTTCTGATTCCGTCTTTATCGGTTGTTTTGTTGAGGTGTAGGTTTCTGATATTTTCCGTCTTTATCGGTCTTTATCGGTTGTTTTGTTGAGGTGTAAGTTTCTGATTCCGTCTTTATCGGTTGTTTTGTTGAGGTGTAAGTTTCTGATATTTTCCGTCTTTATCGGTTGTTTTGTTGAGGTGTAAGTTTCTGATATTTTCCGTCTGTATCGGTTGTTTTGTTGAGGTGTAAGTTTATGATATTTTCCGTCTTTATCGGTTGTTTTGTTGAGGTGTAAGTTTCTGATATTTTCCGTCTATATCGGTTGTTTTGTTGAGGTGTAAGTTTCTGATATTTTCCGTCTGTATCGGTTGTTTTGTTGAGGTGTAAGTTTCTGATATTTTCCGTCTGTATCGGTTGTTTTGTTGAGGTGTAAGTTTCTGATTCCGTCTGTATCGGTTGTTTTGTTGAGGTGTAAGTTTATGATATTTTCCGTCTATATCGGTTGTTTTGTTGAGGTGTAAGTTTCTGATATTTTCCGTCTGTATCGGTTGTTTTGTTGAGATGTAAGTTTCTGATATTTGCCGCCTTTATCGGTTGTTTTGTGGAGGTGTAAGTTTCTGATTCCGTCTATATCGGTTGTTTTGTTGAGGTGTAAGTTTCTGATTCCGTCTATATCGGTTGTTTTGTTGAGGTGTAAGTTTCTGATATTTTCCGTCTTGATCGGTTGTTTTGTTGAGGTGTAAGTTTCTGATTCCGTCTGTATCGGTTGTTTTGTTGAGGTGTAAGTTTCTGATTCCGTCTGTATCGGTTGTTTTGTTGAGGTGTAAGTTTATGATATTTTCCGTCTGTATCGGTTGTTTTGTTGAGGTGTAAGTTTATGATATTTTCCGTCTGTATCGGTTGTTTTGTTGAGGTGTAAGTTTCTGATTCCGTCTGTATCGGTTGTTTTGTTGAGGTGTAAGTTTCTGATATTTTCCGTCTATATCGGTTGTTTTGTTGAGGTGTAAGTTTATGATATTTTCCGTCTGTATCGGTTGTTTTGTTGAGGTGTAAGTTTCTGATTCCGTCTGTATCGGTTGTTTTGTTGAGGTGTAAGTTTCTGATTCCGTCTGTATCGGTTGTTTTGTTGAGGTGTAAGTTTCTGATATTTTCCGTCTGTATCGGTTGTTTTGTTGAGGTGTAAGTTTATGATATTTTCCGTCTATATCGGTTGTTTTGTTGAGGTGTAAGTTTCTGATTCCCTTTATGTATCGGTTGTTTTGTCGTAGTTTCTGTTGTTTTTTGTTGAGGTGTTTTTCCGTCTATATCGGTGTTTTGTTGAGATGTTTTCTGATTCCGTCTGTATCGGTTGTTTTGTTGAGGTGTAAGTTTCTGATATTTTCCGTCTGGTTGTTTTGTTGAGGTATCGGTTGTTTTGTTGAGGTGTAAGTTTCTGATATTTTCCGTCTGTATCGGTTGTTTTGTTGAGGTGTAAGTTTCTGATTCCGTCTGTATCGGTTGTTTTGTTGAGGTGTAAGTTTCTGATATTTTCCGTCTATATCGGTTGTTTTGTTGAGGTGTAAGTTTCTGATTCCGTCTGTATCGGTTGTTTTGTTGAGGTGTAAGTTTCTGATATTTTCCGTTTGTATCGGTTGTTTTGTTGAGGTGTAAGTTTCTGATTCCGTCTGTATCGGTTGTTTTGTTGAGGTGTAAGTTTCTGATATTTTCCGTCTTTATCGGTTGCTTTGTTGAGGTGTAAGTTTCTGATATTTTCCGTCTGTATCGGTTGCTTTGTTGAGGTGTAAGTTTCTGATATTTTCCGTCTGTATCGGTTGTTTTGTTGAGGTGTAAGTTTATGATATTTTCCGTCTGTATCGGTTGTTTTGTTGAGATGTAAGTTTCTGATTCTGTTTTGTTGATTGTAAGTTTCCCGTCTGTATCGGTTGTTTTGTTGAGGTGTAAGTTTTTTGTTGAGGTGATTTCTTTTCCGTCTGTATCGGTTGTTTTGTTGAGGTGTAAGTTTCTGATATTTTCCGTCTGTATCGGTTGTTTTGTTGAGGTGTAAGTTTCTGATTCCGTCTGTATCGGTTGTTTTGTTGAGGTGTAAGTTTCTGATATTTTCCGTCTGTATCGGTTGTTTTGTTGAGGTGTAAGTTTCTGATATTTGTCCGTCTGTATCGGTTGTTTTGTTGAGGTGTAAGTTTCTGATATTTTCCGTCCGTATGTATCGGTTGTTTTGTTGAGGTGTAAGTTTCTGATTCCGTCTTTATCGGTTGTTTTGTTGAGGTGTAAGTTTCTGATATTTTCCGTCTTTATCGGTTGTTTTGTTGAGGTGTAAGTTTATGATATTTTCCGTCTGTATCGGTTGTTTTGTTGAGATGTAAGTTTCTGATATTTTCCGTCTGTATCGGTTGTTTTGTTGAGGTGTAAGTTTCTGATATTTTCCGTCTGTATCGGTTGTTTTGTTGAGGTGTAAGTTTCTGATTCCGTCTTTATCGGTTGTTTTGTTGAGGTGTAAGTTTCTGATATTTTCCGTCTGTATCGGTTGTTTTGTTGAGGTGTAAGTTTCTGATATTTTCCGTCTGTATCGGTTGTTTTGTTGAGGTGTAAGTTTCTGATTCCGTCTGTATCGGTTGTTTTGTTGAGGTGTAAGTTTCTGATTCCGTCTGTATCGGTTGTTTTGTTGAGGTGTAAGTTTCTGATTCCGTCTTTATCGGTTGTTTTGTTGAGGTGTAAGTTTATGAAGTTTCTGATTCCGTCTATATCTCTTATCGGTTGTTTTGTTGAGGTGTAAGTTTCTGATCGGTTGTTTGTTGATCCGTCTTTAGTTTCTGATTTTCCGTCTATATCGGTTGTTTTGTTGAGGTGTAAGTTTTCTGATATTTTCCGTCTGTATCGGTTGTTTTGTTGAGGTGTAAGTTTCTGATTCCGTCTTATATGTAAGTATCGGTTGTTTTGTTGAGGTGTAAGTTTCTGATATTTTCCGTTTGTATCGGTTGTTTTGTTGAGGTGTAAGTTTCTGATTCCCTCTGTATCGGTTGTTTTGTTGAGGTGTAAGTTTCTGATTCCGTCTGTATCGGTTGTTTTGTTGAGGTGTAAGTTTCTGATATTTTCCGTCTGTATCGGTTGTTTTGTTGAGGTGTAAGTTTTTCTGATTCCGTCTGTATCGGTTGTTTTGTTGAGGTGTAAGTTTCTGATTCCGTCTGTATCGGTTGTTTTGTTGAGGTGTAAGTTTCTGATATTTTCCGTCTTTATCGGTTGTTTTGTTGAGGTGTAAGTTTCTGATTCCGTCTGTATCGGTTGTTTTGTTGAGGTGTAAGTTTCTGATTCCGTCTGTATCGGTTGTTTTGTTGAGGTGTAAGTTTCTGATATTTTCCGTCTGTATCGGTTGTTTTGTTGAGGTGTAAGTTTCTGATTCCGTCTGTATCGGTTGTTTTGTTGAGGTGTAAGTTTCTGATTCCGTCTTTATCGGTTGTTTTGTTGAGGTGTAAGTTTCTGATATTTTCCGTCTGTATCGG